AAAGAAAAAGGAAGCTGCACATAGGTGATATATAATTGTAATCCCAGCACTTGGGAGGCTGAGGCAGGAAGATTACCGCAAGTTCAAGACCAGTGTGGGATACACAGTGACAGCCTCAACTAATATAGCAAGGCCCTGTCTCAAAAAACCAAAAACTAGGGCTGGGGATTTAGCTCAGTGGTGTGCCCCCTGCCTCATAAGCGCAAGGACCCACTTTGATCCCTGGTACCAAAAACAAACAAACAAACAAACAAACAAACAAACACCCAAAAACTCACTTGCCAAAAAAGAGAACCAAAATCTGTCATCTTTTGTTTTGTTTTGTTTTGTTTTTTGAGACAGGGTCTCACTATGTAGTTGAGACTGACCTCGAACTCACTATGTAGCCCAGGCTGTTCTCGAACTCCCAGCGATCCTCCTGCCTCAGCCTCCCAACTGCTGGGATTGCAGGCATGTGCCACCGTGCCTGGCTCAAAATCTGTCATGTAAAAGTACAAGATCCCAACGATGAATGTAACTGTACTGTATACTTAAAAAATACCAATAAACTCAATAAGATAAAAACAAACAAACAAAAACTCACTTGTCTTGCAGGCCCAAGGTCCCGAGTTCAATCCCCAGTACCAAAACAAAACTCCCCCAAACAAACATACAAACAAGTAAACAAACAAAAAGGGGTTTGGGGGTATAGTTCAATGCTCCATGGGTTTAATCCTTAGTACTAAAGGGGAAAATAATAGTGCCAGTCTCTTGGGGGCCTGCTCAGTGGCACTTTTTTTGTTGTTGTTTTCACTCTATAGTTTAGGCTCACCTTGAACTCACTATACATCCAGGCTGGCCTGGAACTCATGGTGATCCTCCTGCCTCAGCCTCCCAAGCTCTGGGATTACAGGTGTGCCCCACGATGCCTGGCTGCTACCATTCCTGACACTCAACTCTGGGATGGCTGCACCCAAGAGCTTTTGCTGTTATCAGCATCGTAGGCTGGGAGCCAGAAGGGACAATTTCATGAGACTGACCACTTCCAGCCAGGCACTTGCCCAGCCTGCAGATCAGGAAACAGGTCCTGTCCTCTCCTGAGCCCAGGTGCATGAAGGGCTGAGGGGCGGGGCTCGGGGCCCAACCCTTGGAATCTTAGTCTGGTCGTGTCTTCCACTAGACCAGGGTCCCCCAGGCGCTGTGCACACCGTGTCTGGACTGTCTCTGTGGGGCATCCTGGACGTGGCAGGTGCTGAGCAGCGTCCCAGCCTCCACCTGCTCTGTGCCAGGAGCTTCCCTGTGTGATGGCCACACGTGTCCCCAGACACCAATCCTTGTATCCCTGGAACCAAACTGGATTTGGGTTAAAGCCTCTGGGTTTGCCCAACAGATCCGCGACTCCGTACCAGGGACTCCCTGAGGAACTCCTAGGAGCTCCCGCAGCCCGGCACACATCCCTGGGGGTCTGGCATTTCCGACACATCTACAGCACGGGTACAGATGCCGGCCTGACACTCTTCACTCTTTTGGTTTTCTTTTTGTTTTTCTAGTAATGGGGATGAACCCAGGGCCTGAGTGAGCACTGAGCTACACCCCCAGCTCTTTTTATTTATTTTGAGACAGAGTCTTGCTAAGATGCTCGGGCTGGGCTCCAACTTTCAATCCCCTTGCCTCAGCTTTCCAGACTGCACAGATGACAGGCGTGTGCTACTGCGCCGGGCTCTGTCTTGATTCTAAGGGTACCTGGGGCCCAGCTCCCCAGCTCAGCACCCTGTGACCCTGCCTTGATCTGCTTGCATCCCTGGTCACTGCCCCTTCCTCAGAGCTCCACTGAGTGCTGAGTCCCCGCCCCCAGCTCAGGACCCTGGCCTGCATCTGAGGACACCTTGGTTGTCACTGCTGGGGGAGCTCCTGGCCAGGGACACTGCTTGGCACCCTGCAGCCCACACCCCAGAGAAGGACGAAGTCCCAGTGTCCACAGTGCAGAGGAGGCCCTGTCCAGAGCCCCACACCAGAAGTAGACAGCAATTCCTTACTACCCCCATCCTATCCATCCCAACACACTAGGGGGCCGAGGCAGGAAGATCACAAGTTCAATTACAGCCTAGACAATGTAGTGAGAAGCTGACTCAAAATGAAAATAAAAAAGGGCTGAGGATGTAGCTTAGGGAAGGCCTTGGGTTCAATCCCCAGTACCACAAAAACAAACAAAACACGTGATATTTTAAGGAAAAACAAATATCAGATCAAATCAAACCAGAGATCTTAGAATAAGGTAAGCACAACCTGTGGGAGATATGAGATTAATTCTGAACATAAGGACCCAGCCCCAGTCATCCCAGCCTGGCTCCAATTGGTCAAGGGAGCAGCTGCTTCCTGCGTCCCTCCCACAGCCACAGGCTAGGGAACAGTGACAATCTCAGCTGGGGTCTCTCAGCCAGAGACCTCTCTAGACGTTTGCTGAACCTAGGACAGCGCAGCCTCACCCCCTTTAAAAGAAGCAGCCCGGGCCAGGGCAGGGATTTAGCTCAGTGGTTCTGCTGCCTGGCTCCAAAGTGTAAGGTCCGGAGTTCAATCCCCGGTACCAAAGGCGGGGGTGTGTGTCCAAATTCTGGGCATGGTGGTGCACATGTGTGAGGCAGGAGGATCCCTGCGAGTTCGAGGCCAGCCTCAACTACATAGCGAGATCCTGCCTCAAAAACCAAAAGAAAGGCATAGTCTTAAGTGAAATGAACAGGATACACGTGTAAATACCAAATAGTTTCTCTGGTGTGAGAAACTCAAAGTGTAAATAAGGATCAAAATGTATAATTATATATGTTAAGTAGAAAGAAAAGGCCCAAAGGGGAAGTGGGAGGGACAGGAGAAAGAAAGGAACAAAAGGAAAACATGGAAACAAAGTCTTTGTAAAGAGAGAAGCCGGAAGGGGTTGAAAGAAGGCAGGAAGGCAGGGGAATGGGGAAAAAAAGAACCACCAAGATATACCATGTAAAGGTACAAATTCCCAATGATGAACTGTCATTATACTGTATACCTAAAATGTACCAATAAAATTAATGAAAGGAAGAAGAAGGAAAAAAAAAGGAAACATGAGGCCCCGGTGTAGATGGACAATCAGTGCACATTCTATGAAAAATTAAGTTGCTCAGCCGTGGGCATTATAGCTGTTTTGCGGGGGAAGGGTTACTTGGATGAACCCAGGGCCTTCTCAGGGAGCTACATCCCCAGCCCATTTTACTTTTTTAATTAAAAAAAAATTTTTGGTACTGGGGATCAAACTTGGGACCTTGCGCTTACAAGGTAGGCAGCGGAACCACTGACCTGGCCCCTTTTTATTTTTTATTTTGAGTCAGGGTCTGGTTAAATTGACCAGGCTGGGCTAGAACTTGTAATCCTCCTGTCTCAGCCTCCAGGATGCTGGGATTACAGGCACATGCTACCCTGCCTACCTAGTCTGGGAGACTTTATGATAAATAGACATTTCGTTTCCTGGTCAGAGCACCAAAGAAAAAAAGTCATTCTGAGAAAATCCAAAGGCCAAAGAAAAGTCATTCTGAGAAAATCCAAAGAGAATGGGGGCCGGCATGCAGCTCAGTGGGAAACCCTCTGCAGGGCTGTCCACAGAAAGGAAGAAAAGAGAAGGCAGCGGGGTGTGGTGGTCCCAGAGAAAACGGAAGCACATCCTCTTTGGGGCTTGAAGTGAAGGCCTCCGGACCAGCATCAGATTTCTTCAGTGGGATTTGCCTTTTCTGGTTAAATCACCCGAACCCCAGAATTTCAGGAAAACAGGAACCGCGCCCATCAGCCGGAAATGCCCAGAACTTCCCACAACAGCCTCAGCCCGTGGGGCGGCCTTGGGGAATTCTGCAGCCTCCAGGCTCAGGACAGAGAAAGAAGGCAGACTTTTCGGAGGACCTGGGGACTTTTTACACATGACACACACCAGTGCACTTGATTAAAATATGAAAACTTTACCAAGCTCAGGAACTGAAATAGTTTCACAAACCCCCTGAGAGAGAAGCATAATGTTCCTTGGGTTAGATCTCTGGCACCACACACAGACATACATGCAAAAAATAATACAATGAAAAAAAATATGCAGGGGCTGGGGATTTAGCTGTGTGGTTCTGCCGCCTGCCTCTCAAGCACGAGGTCCCCAGTTCAATCCCTGGTACCAAAAAAGAAAAGAAAGAAAGAAAAAAAAATTGCTCTTGGTGAGAAGGAGGAGAGAGAGGGAGGGAGGCAAAGCTTAGAATTCAACCCTGTAAGGGACTGGGGATTTATTTAGCTGAGTGGTGCTGCAGCTGCCTTGAAAGCACAAGGTCCTGAGTTTGATCCCCAATACTGAGGGGGTAAAAAAAAAAAATAAGAATTTAGTCCTCTGTGAGGCTGAGGCAGAAGGATTCCAAGTTCCAGGCTATCCAGGGCAACGGAGACCCTGTCTCAAAAAATAAAAAAGGGCTAAGGATGTAATGGGGAGGCCTTGGGTTAATCTCCAGTACAGAAAAGAGAGGGAGAAACATACTAAAGGTGTAGGTGTAGCTGGACGTGGGTGCGGATTTGGCTCTAGGGAAGGGAGGGACACTGGGGGGAGTAGGGGAGAAGGGAAGGGACTCCCTGGAGTTTCCCTGGTCTCACTGTATAATCAGCACCCCTGCCAATGGGTTCTAATGAAAGATGGGGCCAGGAAGGTGAAGCACTTAGCCTCCCAGGTCCCCAGCACCTTTCCTGCCCAGGCCTCCAGCGTCGCTCTCTCCCATCTACCGCCGCCTTGAGCTGTACCCTCCTTAAATCTCCTGCGCGGCTTTGGAAACAACCCCAAAACATAAGCATCCGGCAAAAAAAATTTTTTTTTTGATATTGAACTCAGGACCTTGCACTTGCGAGGCAGGTGAGGTGCCACTGAGCTATAAATCCCCGGCCCCCGGCAACTCTTGGAGTGAACAAGAAGAAGTAAAAAAGCTGGCCTGAAAAGAAAGTAAATCTCACAGTGCAGAGGAAGAAAGCGAGTCTTGACTCACAGGTCAAAAAGCGGCGTGGACTCCATGCTAACGGCATGGAGGGCGTTGGATGGGGACTCGGGCCCTAGGCCTCGGGCAGCTGCTCTTCCGCAGAGCCGGGCTGCTAAGACCTCTGCTGGGCTGGACACTGCCTCCCGCCCTCCCCCGCAACAAGCAAATATCAGCAGATCTGTGAGGCAGACTCGCGAGCACTCTGGAAGGCTGAGGCCGGAGGATCCCAAGTGGGCAACTGAGCAACTTAGGGAGACACTGTTTCAAAAGAAAAAAATAAAAAGGGCCAGGCGTGGTGGCGCACTGAATAATCCCACAGCGATGGGGAGACTGAGGCAGGAGGACAGCCGCGAGTTCGAGGCCAGCCTTACAGAACGTGGCCCTCTCTCAATAAACCGCAAAAGAAAAATACACACTGGCTCTCTTGGGGATCTGTTTTCTGACCCTATTCTGCCATCTTCCCCCGGACTTTCCCCCTCTCAATGAACTATAAAGCAAACTCAAGCCTTAGGGCCAGGCACCACGAGGGGCTCCGAGACACCTGCTCCGTGGCTCTGAAGCCCTAGCACCGAAGGCCGCTGAGGAAAGCCCGACCCACAGCAGTCCCGGCCCATTCCGCCGCCCGACTTCGTCCTCCTGCCACCCACCTCGTAGTCTCAGGCTGCCGGCCGCCTCCGGTCTCCCGAGCCTGCCGCCGCCCGCGGAG